GGAAGAATTAAGTCTTCAAATATAGAATAAAGACCACACTTGGAAGAATGAAGTCTTCAAGTATAGAATAAAGACCACACTTGGAAGAATGAAGTCTTCAAGTTTGGAATAAAGACCACACTTGGAAGAATGAAGTCTTCAAGTATGGAATAAAGACCACACTTGGAAGAATGAAGTCTTCAAGTATGGAATAAAGACCACACTTGGAAGAATGAAGTCTTCAAGTTTGGAATAAAGACCACACTTGGAAGAATGAAGTCTTCAAGTATGGAATAAAGACCACACTTGGAAGAATGAAGTCTTCAAGTATAGAATAAAGACCACACTTGGAAGAATGAAGTCTTCAAATATAGAATAAAGACGACACTTAGAAGAATTAAGTCTTCAAATATAGAATAAAGACGACACTTGGAAGAATTAAGTCTTCAAGTATAGAATAAAGACCACACTTGGAAGAATGAAGTCTTCAAGTATAGAATAAAGACCACACTTGGAAGAATGAAGTCTTCAAGTATAGAATAAAGACCACACTTGGAAGAATGAAGTCTTCAAGTATAGAATAAAGACCACACTTGGAAGAATTGAGTCTTCAAGTATAGAATAAAGACCACACTTGGAAGAATGAAGTCTTCAAGTATAGAATAAAGACCACACTTGGAAGAATTGAGTCTTCAAATATAGAATAAAGATGACACTTGGAAGAATGAAGTCTTCAAGTATAGAATAAAGACCACACTTGGAAGAATGAAGTCTTCAAGTGTAGAATAAAGACCACACTTTTGGAAGAACGAAGTCTTCAAGTGTAGAATAAAGACCACACTTTTGGAAGAACGAAGTCTTCAAGTGTAGAATAAAGACCACACTTTTGGAAGAACGAAGTCTTCAAGTGTAGAATAAAGACCACACTTGGAAGAATGAAGTCTTCAAGTGTAGAATAAAGACCACACTTGGAAGAATGAAGTCTTCATGTATAGAATAAAGACCACACTTTTGGAAGAACAAGTCTTCAAGTATAGAATAAAGACCACACTTTTGGAAGAACAAAGTCTTCATGTATAGAATAAAGACCACACTTGGAAGAATGAAGTCTTCAAGTATAGAATAAAGACCACACTTAGAAGAATTAAGTCTTCAAGTATAGAATAAAGACCAGACTTGGAAGAATGAAGTTTTCAAGTATAGAATAAAGTCCACACTTGGAAGAATGAAGTTTTCAAGTATAGAATAAAGACCAGACTTGGAAGAATTAAGTCTTCAAATATAGAATAAAGACCATACTTAGAAGAATTAAGTCTTCAAATATAGTATAAATACCACACTTGGAAGAATGAAGTCTTCAAGTATAGAATAAAGTCCACACTTGGAAGAATGAAGTTTTCAAGTATAGAATAAAGATCAGACTTGGAAGAATTAAGTCTTCAAATATAGAATAAAGACCATACTTAGAAGAATTAAGTCTTCAAATATAGTATAAATACCACACTTGGAAGAATGAAGTCTTCAAGTATAGAATAAAGACCAGACTTGGAAGACTCATGAAACATTTTTATTATATTATTATTCATTTTAAATAAGCTAACCTTAACTAAGCTAGAGAGATTCCTATTTTTACATTTTAGTTACATTTATAATATTAAATAAAGAATAAACACAAAAACAAGAAATACAGTACTTATCCCAGATCTTTTTTTTTGCTGTCGACTGTCGATGACACTTAACCCTACATTTTTTTTTATACTAATGGTAGTAATGCACTAAATAATTGTTATGTAATTAAATAATTCACGAAAGGACATTGAATAATAACACGCAAGAAAGCAGACAATTTCCCCAAACTATCACAATTTTTCTACCTTTCCAACTATGCGACAAGAGTCGTTCATTACAAATTTATCCAAGCTAATTGATATGTTTCCCATGGGATCAAAGCTTGTACTAACAGAGAAAATGACAATTTTCTGTTCAGAAAACAACATAATATAATACATTATTTGATAGATGAAAACCTTGGCTTTCTATTGGTTATACAGAACATAGTACATAGAATACTGAAAGTGAAACTGTGACAGGTGGGTGAGCAAGAGGGGTCTGATTTTACATTTGATGGCTCTGTAACCAAACAAGATTGAAGGCTATAAAACTTTATGGTTTGTCTTGAGCAATGACAATTTTGTAGTGAGTAATTTATGTTGAATTTTGTACTTATTGGAGGGGTGGTGAATAAAATAGAGATGAGAGGAAGCCTAGAGAAAATATGTCACATATCTCACTAGGGGAAATTCGGGAATTTTTTTTAAACATTGCGTTATAAATTTAAGAACTTAAAACTAGTATACTATTAGAATATGGATTATAGGTTATAATTTTATGCTATACTAATTGCATAATATAAACAAAATGAGTTTAATTAAATTTTGAATGTGACTAAAACCTCATGACCTACACAGTAAATGATGCCCGAGCAGAGTTAAATTCCATACTTCTCGGAGAGGTGGCAAATAAATCAGAGAAGAGTAAATACCTACAGAAATTTCCCAATTCCCATACTAAAAGAAATTGAGGATTTTTTTTAAATAAGAATTTAAGTCTTGTATGATTTTAACATTTTTTATTATTAGCTTCATTTTTAAGCCAAGTTTACTCCTACAGCAGGATAATAAAAGTATTTTGATTACATTTTGAATATTACTAAGTAAAACCTTGTGACATGAGCAGAAAAGAGTGCCTGTATGGAAAGAGTTAAACACTGTGTTAACATAATTGCCTTGATTATTGACTAAGTAAGAACTGAAAATGTTTATTCAAATAATATAGAGGTAGTTTTTGTTTTTTTTAACAATAAACAGAGATGCGTTTCTTTTGAATCTTATTAATAGGAAAATATGGATCTTTAGTTGCAATGAGCATGTGAAAAAAAGAAGTTAAAAGGTAATTTGTTAGATTTTATCAAAGTGATGATAATATAAAAATATAAGATTCAATCCTACTCATAACCAGGTATGTTATTTTCCTTTTATTCTGAATAATACAAAGTTAAATTCCAGCAACAGTCTGGGTCTTTTACAAAACTTTCACTACAAGACACGTTTGAATGAACTCCAAATTTATTTAAATCCTTTTTTTTATACTTTGATTTAAATGTAAATTCTTCATGTTAAAAACATTTATTTACATTTTTAACATTTCATTTTGCCATCTTTTAACGACCATTGTTCATTGCTTTTAAAAGAAATACAAGGTTACCCGTTTTCTCAGTTCCCAATCTTTTCCACACTTCTGACTAAACCAATCCAAATGCAAGACTAGAATTATGTATCGAAGAATGTCATGGAGTGATATGTTGATAACTTTTAGTCTACTAATTTTTAACTTACTGGACATACATACATGTTTGGAATTGACTAATAAAATATTTTCTGTAAACTTAAAAAAAGTAGTAAGGGACTTACGACAATCTGTATTTTCATCAGATGCATCTGGACAATCACTCTGACCATCACATCTCCATGTGTTAGGTATACAAGTACCTTCACTTGATAAACAGGTAAAATCCTCAGGTCCACAGGTTTTGTTACCTATAATAACAAGAAATATTCAAAGATATTTGAATAACTATTAAAATGTGTGATTTTTAACGGCATTATTATTTTCAAGTTTGCATATGAATACTTTAAAATCTACAAAATTATTCTACTATGTTTTCTTTTAAATAACTGGACCTTGTTGGATGATTCCGTGTAATAGAGTCAGTGGACTCTGTGATACATAATCATCCAAATCTATTTATTTCTCCACCCAACAAACAAGGTGCATGGTGGACCAGTGCTATATGAGAGTTGTAAGAGGAAGACAAAGGAAGGAAAACTGTGTGTGGGATAAATGGAGGGGATTTTCAGGGTCATCCTTCACACACAGGCACGGTTTAATTACCATTTTCATATCAAAATGTATTAAGCAATGGCTATAATTTATATCAATAGCATATCTGTTTTTATGCATATGTTGATATATGCTTGTAGGCTAATTATAGATGATCATTTGCAAATTATGTAAGTTAAGAATTTTATGCAAGCAAAAGAAATGTTTTATGTCATCTACTAAATTAGATCTTCATGATGTTTGATGAGAGGTGTACATGTCATAATGGTTCATTGCAATACACAACTGGTATAGTTCTGGTATTCGCTAATCTTTTGTTTTTTCAAGGTGAAAGACTGGAAACAGTGGAAGAAGTGGCTCCAATTGGTGGGAGTTGAGAAAGGGTTGATCAGGCTATCAGTAGTGAATTCCTGCCATAGGGGAACAACCCCCACTGGACCAGAACTGTTGGTGACGATTAATCCTACATCGAGAAGCATGATGACTTGTTGAATCCCTAGTGGTAAAGGATGGGACGTTGCAGGATGGGAAACAGTAACAGGATAGTAACCCTGTGAAGGGTGAGGCATGCTAGCACCTGCTCTCAACTGAACCCCCGATGTCAGGAGAAGGAGGGAATACAAGGTACTCTAAGGAAGGGGGTATGATGTAATAAGGAAAAAACATGATCATATGAAATTGGGCAAACGGATGAAATTGAAAACACCCGAGACATCATATCCAAAAGAGCCAAGTTAATTAAGCCTAGCAGATTTTGCAGGAGAACCTTGAGAAGACACGACATAGGTGGAGAAAAAAGGCTGTTAAAATCCTCCTTGCCATGAACAGGTTTGGAAGATTCAGGAGGAAGTCAAAGATTATCAGAAGAAGGAGGTTGACTCACATAATGATCAATCTCCCAGCAAATAATTGGTGAAAAATCGTTGGTCAAGACCCTCCAACCTGAGGCCTGTGTAAGGGTACTGGAAATTGTGATATGAACATCAGAATCAACATAAATGGTGAAGAATAAAAAAAAAGATAAACAAAAGTCATTTTTTGTGGCAAAAAAACTACAGAAAAAAAGAAAAAGTCATTACCTTGCAAAAAAAAATATTAAATAAACACACGAAGAGAGCACAATTGAAAAATGTCTATTTAAGATCACTGCCTAACAAGAAGCGATAGTTCAGAAAAATCAAATAGAGGGAGCCACATGCATCAGGAGGGTGTGTTGCACTCCTATTGGTGGAGGGTTGTCGCATGAGGACTTGCATACGAGATGCGGAGAACCACGTTGATTGTGGGGTATGTGGGAGCTCAAGGCTTGTGGCATGCAAAAAAAATTTTAGCATATAGAGGGCAGTAATCAAAGATGTGCAGTATCAGAATATATATATGATAAAGAAACTTGTTAACATGAATACTTCAGAATTCAAATGCTGATACTGAACGTGTTATCAACTTATTTCCAATCTTTTGGAATATCTTAAATTTGAAAAGTATGCAAACATGAGAATAAATACACACACAGATTGAACATGTTACAAAGAGTATCTGAGCAGTTTTATCAGTTTTCTGTACCAACTCCACCTTTTTGCATCTACATATCTGAAAATTGACATGTCTATGCATTTTCACAGCAATATAAATGTATAACAAAACATGATTCTTGTAAAGTAACATTTTTTTTTTGAAAAATAGAAACCAAAAAATAATGTAACAACTATGTTATTCTATTTTCAATTTGAAACACAAACTTACTGCAAATGGCTGGATTTTCATCAGACTTGTCCCCACAGTCATCTTCATTGTCACACTGCCATCTGGTTGGTACACACTTTTGGTTGTCACATTGAAATTCTGTTGATGAGCAAGTTCTTAACTCTAAAAACAAATAAAAAGAAATCTCATTGTTTATAATAAATACTAACTCTAAAAGGTTTGACAGTAAACATCATGATAAAATAATTCAACCTAATTGATATTCAATATTCTTCAAAAACATCTAACTGTTCGGGGAAGATATGGGGCCAGAACCTATTTGCATGTCTTTCATCATCAATGTCTTCTTTTCTTTGCTTCTTTATGAGTTTCATTTGATCGTGTCAATTGTTTTCCCTCTGCTTCTATTATCCTATTTTTTCTAAGCTTTCTTGATTTTGTCATGCCATCCATCTGCTTTATCTTTCTCATGCTAAGCAAAGTTTTTTTGTTGCACTGTTGGTGAACTGTTGTTAGTTTTATTTAGAATTTGTATCATAAATGGTGTTCATCTAAAATAAACTGCTGTGTTAGGTCTTCATGATAGGCTCGCTTCATCCTGGCAGGAAGCCTGAATCTTGCTCGCCTCTTCTCCCATGGCACTGATGGTTCTTTCTTTTTTGGTAATGTGGGCAACATTCATATGAAGTTTTTCTTATTTCACATTCTTAAAATACCTCTTGATATAAAATCATAAATAATATTCAACGTTAAACTG